CCCATTTTCTGTTCAATAGAAGTGTTGATATTATTTGTTGTTCTAGATGTTAACATTGGCTCTAAACCCCTGAAAAGTTTTTTTTTTTTTTAATTTCTTCCAAGAAGCGCTGATTGTGTGCTTCTGTGTGGGAAAGTGTCTGCATATTTCAGAATCTCAGACAGTGCCCACAATTCTAAAAAAAATAAATGGAGTGTGAGTTCACAAATCCCCTGTGTTACTGAGTTAATTTTCTCTCTTATGAAACAGCAATCTCCTCTTTTTCATTTTTCTCTGTGAATTAATATTTTCTCACACTGTCACATTTGATCATAGTTTTCACATGCTTGATGTCTTGCAGGCCACTAAATAAATAAACACGCATTAGTAATTCCTGGATAGTTTGAAGCATGTTAGTGGCTAAGATCGGATAACACCTCACCCTCTCCATCTGAACCAGTGGTGTGAGTTAAACAAAGTAATTCAAAGTTTGTATTGGAGATTCACCCATTACATATGACACAGCCAATTCCACATTTCAGAAGACTGACACTAAACCCAAATATTGAAATGTGGCATTCAAACTAATCTAGAATCAAGGGCTGTAATTATGGCTCTTCTATAGTAAAATAAACGGTGACTTTCATCCAGAACTTCTTAGTCTTTTGTATTGCTAATTGCTGTCAACAAGATTGAAATTTCTTTTCTAGTAGGAGTGAAATGAGTAAAGTAAATCATTGGTATTTTAAAAAACATGGAGATTTTTGAGCAAGATTTCCAATGAAGGAATAATTAGAAAAGAAAGAACGTGCAATTTAAGAAAACTGAATTGAATTAAAACATAATAAATGAAAGATTAAAACTCTCAGAGAATTGTCACAAATCATAATTTCTCTTGTTAAATGACTAACCTCTAAATTTTTAGGAAGGTAACTCTGTCTACATAGTTTGAATGCAAAACAGAAATTACAAAGCCTAACCATTCTTTCTCTGTGCAGAGATTAGTTCATTCTTTCATGCTGAAATAAACTGCTTTCAAAGGCAGTTCCAGAGGAACAGATTATAATCTGAATACACCCCATCCTGTCTGAATTTTCTTTTTCTTCTTTTTCTTTTTCTTTTTCTTTTTCTTTCCTTTTCCTTTTCCTTTATCTTTTTATTTTTCTTTCCTTTTCCTTTTCCTTTTCCTTAATCTTTTTATTTTTCATTTTCTTTTTTTGGGAGGTGGGGAGGTTGGAGTGAGGGAAGGTCTTACAAAATTGGTTCACTCTTTCCAGTATGTATGATGAGAGGCTGCATTTTCATTTGAGTTCAACTCTCTCCATACTGGACTGTACTCAAAAGCTGAACAATCAAGTGTTGCAGCTCTGAAGTCTCATTTCTCTAGCATGCCCTCATCTATGAGGATTGTTATATAGGTTTTCTGTGTATTAGTCCATGAAAAAAAACAATCCTTGCAAACCCTTTCTGGGAACAATAAGCAGAGAAAGCAGCATTTGTTCAGCCACCCTAGAGGCAGATATGTAATGATAAAGATGCTGTGGCATGCCTCCCTGCACAGCCCTGCTGCCAGCACATCTGGCAGCACTGTCAGTTCGCCTGTCCCTGTGGTACCCCCCTCTCCTGGGCACCCATAAGCCTGTGCTCTCAGCTGCTACGCCAGGGGAAGTCCTTGACTTTCAGATTTGTAATGCCAAATTGTCCTTTCAGTGGTCACAAATTTCCACTGAATTTGTTTTTGAGGCTTCTGCCCTCCCTTCAAATATATGCATGGGATAAGTGAAGGGCTGTCATTTTGTGTCAGCTATTTTTCAGTCAGACTGTGTCATAGCCCAAGTATTAAGACAAGGGAAACAGCAGATCAAATAGGCCCCAAGATTTTGTTTATTCAGATGACAAAAAAATACATTCTTTAGTTGTTTCCCATTAAAAAAAGTTAGTGTCTTGTTACCATTTTGTAATATAAAAGCAGTGAAATCAACTGCATAATTTTCATCATTTTGGTTCTCTTTATTTCTTAATTAGCTTTATATCCCAACAACTTCTACATAAGCTTTAAGAGTGCGGTTGTACATGTCAAGTCACGTTAGTTATGCAACAGATCCCACCTTCGGGGCCCACAAACTATGACTGACCATGCAAGATTTTGGTTGCGAACAGTAATTCCGGATGACAGTATTCCCTTGATCCCTGTGTGTATCAGGGGGAATTGCAAGAGCGAAGGTCATTATCGTCATGTGTTGTTTATTACATAACTGGATAAAACAAAAATATGTTTTGCTTTGTTTCTAACCTGTGGGAGAACCATGTTCTCTGGAGCGTTACAGTGTCATATCTCAGCAATACCTTGGGCTGAAAGGGAGGGCATACTTAAAATGGGTTTCACTTGTAGCTATGGTAACATGAATTGAAAAGCAAGTTATTGTGAGCTTTTATCGCAGTTGTTAATTTGTCAAAGCAAACATGACAGAAGCAATTTGTAAAGCTCTAGGGCAAACTCAATTTGCACTTTGAGACTTTCCCTGTAAAACACGTACAAAGCAAACACCAAGAAAAATACTATCATTATTCAGTTCAGAGCAGTCAAAGCTCTTGATTCAGGAACAGCCACTGGTCCTTCAGATAAAAAGAGTGATGAGAGCACTTTAGCTCCACAGGTATGAAGAAGTGAGTGTTCTTATAAATTCTGATACTATAACACAGGAATTTCAGAGAACAACAGCAACTGAATCATTAAAAGGTATGAAGGAACTGTGTCAGCGACTGAAGGAAATAGTCTAAGGTACTGGATACATGCAGCCCGGCCAAACTAGAGAGTAATACTATGGGTATAGACCGAAGATATTTGGAGGCTGAGAGGAAATGGTTAAGTATCAAACTCATGGAGCATAATTTTGCTTAATGATTTATTTTTAAGCAAAGGAAAGCTTAAATTTCTTAAAGAATAAAATCCACACTGTTCAACAAAATAGTAAAACTCAAATATTGAATTATTTGAGATTATATTGGCCAAAACACTAGAGATCATATTGCTGCTAGTAGGCTTCTTTTGGCACAGCAAAGAATGTACAATTTTATAAACTCATATATTTCTCTGTTTCCAAGCAAAACAAGAAAAGTGTGTTCGCAGACTGCTTTGCCTTACAGTAACTGTTACTGTAAGTCACCAGATGATCCTTGCTGTCCTTTCCAACACCTGTCACTCACCTTTCAATTCCAACTAAAACAATACAAAGATATTAAAGGTGTTAAAATAGTATCATACTGCTTATACTATTAATATTAACAATGTATATTAGCAACAAGATCTCCACACTGTGGCACTATAAAGTTTATAAGAATATAAAATGTGTATGTGCATATGTGTTTTCCAGCTTTAGAATTCTAATTCAACCTCACCTGAGATCACTGGCTTATATTAAATATGGCATATTCACTTGATACGTGACATTAATTACAACCCCAAATAGAGAAGTTCAAGCAAAACTCTATACAGAGCAACACTTCTACTTCTTACTAAAGTAAGATATATAGGCAAAAGTTTTAATAATACTTTTGAAAAGTGAGCAGAGTTTTAAATCTCATTTCCAAAACTAATACAGGAACTGTAATATTATTATATATCTATATTATTGAAAATACAATATCATTATTATCAATAATATACAATTAACTATTTGTAAATTTGATTAAAACAGAAGGAAGCCAAGAATATCACCAAACCTCTGCTGAAAATCACTTCAGTTTGGATAAAAGCTGCTTCCCAGAACTTGAAGGGAGACAGCACACCAATTTCTTTTGAGATCGTTGCTAGCTGTTGTCTTAAAGAAGTGGATTTAGACTCAGGTTCATTCCACCAGCTGATAAGCCACCTAGACATGTTTTTGTTTTCTTAAACTCCTTTCTTCTTGGGGGAATTAGGAATGATAGCACTTTAATCCTGGCTGCTCATGAGTGGTCTTAACAGCTATTAATTATTTTGTCAAACTCAATTAACTTAAAAGTTTTAAATATGTATATGCTTTTGTTTAGCAGCAGTGCTGCTCATCTGGACAACTTTTCTTTCTGGCATGATTATATATTTCAAATGCTTTTTCATTGTTTGCCTCACTGTTTCCATGAGACACAGAATCTTTTCAGTTTTATGGATAAAAGTTGCCACTTTGTATTGGATTGAAACCTTCTCATTATTGAACTTAATGTTAAATCTGTGACTACCATTGGTATACATGAAATTTTATGTGTATTTTTGAAGCATAAAAGCAATGGTGATATCAATTCTGGTAGCTGAAAGATTTGTTTTGTAATCGTTGTTTAGTTGCATTCTTAAAACAACGTGAGGAGCAACTTAAAATTTTGCTTCATTTTATGTTGTTATTTCTTAGGAAACTCATGCTAAGCTAACAAATGTGAATGTTAGAGTCTTTCACTGTGATGCCCAAATACATTTTAGTAGTTAAATTTAAGCATCAAGAAAAATTAGAGCTCCACTTGGTAGCTACTTGGGTATTTTTTTGTTTTATTTTTCTTTTAACTAGTGCAAATATTGCTAATCTGCTACCAGACAGAATTTGATCAATGAATTCCATAGTTTTTCTATCCCATGCTATATTACAATAGCTGCATTATGGAAAGGCAAAAGAACTTGCTAAGCAAATGCATTGAGCTGAACCTCATTATGCATGAAATTATAGTGTCTTTCTTGATACAAAATAGGCCAGTTGTATTCTTATTATACTTTAGTTCTGATAATTTATGTCTGAAGGATGTTGTCGTCATCTCAGGCCTGCTCCTGTTTTTAAGAGTCTGCCAGTGTTTTGTATAGGTGGTTTTTATTAAATTTATTAATTTTTCAATGAAAAATCAATTATTTTAAAAGCTTATGACAAGTGTTGGTGTTAACATATGCTATGTTAGTTTGTGTTTGTTTCTAAATATTATATAAATCCTAAAATGCATGTAGATTTGATTAATTTTGTGCTTACATCTTGTGTAACTTCACACTTAATTTTATTCCATAGGAATTTGCTGCACTGACAAAAGAATTAAATGCATGTAGGGAACAGCTGCTTGAAAAGGAGGAGGAGATTTCAGAACTGAAGGCCGAAAGAAACAACACGAGAGTAAGTGTACAGCAGACCTTTTCTGGATATCATGTATGTATAAAATAGGAGAAAAAACTCCTTGCCCTCCCTGCAAATGTATTTAAATAAGTACATGAGACTTGTCAGGATCTAAGTAGTAGGATGTATCTACCATACTGCAGACCTGCAGAAAATGACTCCATGCTGGACTTTGAACGTTGCAAGGTATGTACATTCAGAGCAAGAGACTCACTAATCTTTCCAAGACCCAAGTCCTACATAAGTAGCCTGCACAGATCTTCTTCTCTTCTCAAGGCTAAGGGCAGGGGTACAGCACATTGAGGTACCTAGGAGCCTTGATTTTGGTCTGAATAAGGATGAGATGAAGGCTGCCACTTGTATCACGGTGACTATGCTGTTTAGTCTAGATGCAGCCACTGTCATCCTTGAAGTAAATATCATTTGTGATACTGCTGAGGACATTTCACCCCTAAGTTTGCTATATTCTGCTTCAATCAAAAGCCATTATTCTGTCTGCAACCAACAACCCATGATAGTGCCTCCTGGAACAGATGCTGAACACCAAGGATGTTTTAACATATTTATGTTGCATTCTCCTGTGCTCTGGGCAACTCTTCCTGCTTTCATCCTTTCACTATACCAACAGTGCTTTGTGCCTCACTTAATATCTTTCCCTGGTTACCTGACTGGCATTCCAAAGGTTGTCTAGCAAGATACTTGACAAAAGAATTGTGACAGTCTTTCTCCATCCTTTTTACTGCCAGATATAGCATAGAGTGCCACAAATTCCAGAAATCCAAAGATGGTCAAGTGATACAGTTGTCTACTAAGAGACAGTGGTTCTTCATCTACCTCCATGCTAGCTTAAAGGAGCAAGAAGAGATAATCTTGCTAAATGTAAAAGTTTTAGATGTGTTGAGATTGGGAAATGTGATGGGAAACAGATAAAACATATTTTTTCCTCCCATAACTCTTTCATAATCTAAACAATACAAAATTGCTCCCACAAAATTAGAATTAATGAAGAAGAACATTGGAGTTGCAATGCATTCTTCAGGTTGGCAAGCCATCTCAGCCATGTATTTCTGAAATAAAGCTGCTTAGATTTTCAGTAACTGTTATGTATATCAGTTATTTAAATGTTTGAAGGAAAACTATTAAAGTCAACTTTATAAAGTTACGTAGAACAAAGAATAACTTGTATTAATTTCTAGCACAAACTTCTGAAGACAAGATACGGTTAAGATAAAAGCCCAGACAATTGTACTGATTGGGTAATCTCCATATACACATTCCTAAACAGAAAATACCTAAATTTGCCTTTCTTTACAGAAAACATAGTGCATATACTAAATTTAAATGTATTCTTCTCAGTCATCATACATTCTCAAAAGAATGCATACAAAACTATCTAGCAGAAAGTTTTTACCATTTCACTATAGAGCCCAATGAACACCAAGTTTGTACCCATACCTAGCATGAGTCTGATAGAATAAGTAGCTCAAAGAGGAATACCATGACAGCCCTGTAGTCAAAGACAGTTGCACACCAAACAACTGTGAGAGAAAAGCAAATTGAGTTAGTTACAAGTCAAATTAAGCTCTGTCATAGCACTTTCTTTGCGAACAAAAAAATTTAATTATTGTCCATTCTTGTTTTTATATTACGTGAAAGAAAATCCAGTAAGAGATTTTCCAGGAGATTCCAATTAAAAGTTGGAAAGTATGATAATGTTGCCAGAAGTCCTTGCAGTTTAATCTAATATACTCAACTAATTTGTCTTAATAATGAGTACAAAGGTAGGCATTGGAGATTAAAAGATTTAGTATACAAAAATATATAGAAAATGCAGGAAATGCAAGAATAAAGAGCTGAAGATAAAGGTGTTAATGAGGAAGAAGAAAAAAATCAGACATGACTGATGCCTTACACTGTCCTCCAGAATTTTCATTAACATGTTGTCATCCATCATGTCATGTATATATTCCTTCCATTCTGTCAGCTGCCACATACTAAGTTAGTTCCTGGAGTCTATTCTAATAGTCATGTTGCCTTATACAGGCTCCCTACACTGTGTTTATAGGTAAAGACCAGCATTCCAGTTACACTGGTGCAGCTGTTGTCTTCAGAATACAATCATCTCCATGACATACTAGATAAGAGGTTTCCAACAGGAAGTCATTGTACATAAAGAAGCACTTTTACAAGCTGATATTTATGCTGTTAATGCAAAGCAGCATTAATAGTTTGTCAGAAAAAGCTACTACTTTTTTTTTCCTGTTATTAGAGATTCACATTCAAGTAATAATATTTAGAAGACCACAGAAATACTTTTGCAATGAGGAATCAAAATGTCTTTCCTAACATCTAAAGTGAGTCCAGCTAATTCTTCTTTCCATCTGCCCCACTACAAGTCATATCTAACCAGCTCTGGCCTTACTGTGCCCACAGGACACTCTCATGCATAGCCACACTTATCACCCTGACTCAGTACAAACACTTTTCCCCCAGGTATCACTTTCTACTAATAATAATTAAAAAAGCTCAGGTCTAGATTCTTGGGTTCCTATTTTGAACTTTTTTAATGCAACCTTTTGTTTCCCTGCAATAGCACTGGAAAGGTACTGTTTGAAGCACCAACTGCTTCAAACTGGAGATCAGCAAGAAGAAATTGAAATGGCAAATCTGTCATGTTCTGAGTATATCGAGATAACTCTTGCTTTCTATTTCCCTTTTACATTTCTCATACATTTTCCTTTGTTCTAGACCCACACCCATGTATTTCTTTATTTTCCCTCAAAAAAGCTGCAAGACCTAATCTGCCATTTTAGGCCAAGCTGCAGCAGCAGATCCTGACAGTAGAATGCATTAGAATGTGCTAGAATAACATTATGTGAGACCCATAAACTCTTGGTCTCTGCCAAAAGACTACACCTTATAGCTTACCCTAGACTTGAGTTCCTAGTCAGTCCTTCTAGTAGAATTCTTAAACAAAGCTCCCTGGAAGACTTTTTGCTTTAAAATATGTATTTTTATTGCCTACTATAATTAACTTCTCACATATTATAGTAAAAATATTTTCATGTCACAAACTTAGATGACGACTTCATCTGCCAGTACATTTGGCAACATGAAAAATGCAGGAGCATATGTGTATATATTGATTAGTGTGGTGTTGCTGACAGGAAGACAAACAGGCTCTCTCTGTAAAATCACTGCATGTGATTTTGAAAACATATACAAAAATACCTTGGAAGAAATTACTATATAGAGTGAAGGAATGCTATCCAAAGGGACCTGGACAAGCTTGAGAAGTGGGCCCATGTCAACTTCATGAAGTTCAAGAAGGCCAAGAGCAAGATCCTGCATCTAGGTCAGGGCAATATCAAGTACAGATACAGACTGGGTGGAGAATGGCTTGAGATCAGTCCTGAGGAGAAGGATTTGAGAGTATTGGCTGATGAAAAATTGAACTTGTGCCAGCAATGTGCGCTTGCAGCCCAGAAAGCCCACTGTGCCCTGTGTTGCACCTAGAGATTATTTTTTGTCTTGAATGTACAGAAACTCAAACGTGGAACATAAGCTGCAGCTAGGCTATGACTTCATTTTTTCAAGGAAGGATTACCACCAGTACTTTACCAGTAAAGTTATTTGATTTCCCACAGGAGCAAATGGGCTTCCACTGCTGTTGAACAGTGCAGAGGAAGATGACTGGCTTTATGGCTGAATTTAGAGATAATCTGCAACCCCTTATCTGCTTAGTTTACTTTTCTTCTTTACTTGCACCAGAGGTAGAGATTCACTAAATAACGTGTATTCTAAATACAGACTGAAAGGAAATTGCATTTTGCATGCGTTGGTGAGAAGCTGAACATGAAAGAGCATTGTCTTCTTAGTGGGTTGCCCTGTTTTTATAAGGAATCCTTAAGTCAAGTCAATCTCATTTCAGCAAATCTTTGTTCTTCTATATTGTATTTCCTCATATTCTATTACATACTTTTCTCCATCACTCTCTCCTGATTCTTTCCTTTCTCTGTTTAATACCCTGCTGTGAACTTCTTTTTTTTTTTTTTTTTTTTCAGTTTTATTGAAAACAAAGAGAATTAAGATAAAATACTTTATGCTAATTAAAATTCAGATCCTATAATAATGCAAACGTTAATGAGTCATAATAAATTTGGTTTACTGAATCATTCTTTTAAAAATTTCTTTTTTTCTTTTTCACCAGTAAATCAGTGTCCCTGTGGCAATGATGGTTTAGTACAATAGAGGTACATGATAACATACAAAGACATTTAGTTACACATTTCTATTTCACGCTGCTTTGGAAATGATCTGAGAAATACAGTAAACTTTATCCTAATAGCTGTCTGTGTTTAGTTTGTTCTAATTAACATTTTAAAGTTGCTTCATTCCTTCACAAAATAAGCAGTCAAACATTTTCCAGTGTTTGAATAATCATTTTTAAACATTCTTCATGCTCGTGAAGTCAGAGCTCTAGAAACACCCATCCCATTTAGCTACGGTAAAATTATCAGCTTGGGATCTTGAGGATCCTAAAACTCACCCAGCATAAGAACAAAATTCAAATGTCACATTATTTCATAATTCATTGTCAAGCTTATGCTTTCCAGCAGGAAAAGCATAGTGATGACTGGTATTATACGTGGTTGATTCTGTCCTGCTTTCTGCTGTTGATCTTCATCTTCTCTGCAAGCCTCCTGTCCCTGTGAGCACTTGACGACTGTAAGATCAACACAGAGTGAGGGAGCAGAAAATGCTCAGCAGCATGTGTTCTTTGTTAATGCCAGCGTGTGACTGAAACATACAAAAGCAAAAAAAAAAAAAGCAAAAAGTTGAAGTAAAGATGGCTAAAATATCATTTTAAATATAATTTCAGCAGAGAATGGAGGAGGGATTTGCCAGCAGGCTTGCTAACTCCTGGGTTGATTGGTTACTCTTCCCTTTCAGCATGGCTGGGAGTACTGTGGTACAGGGACACCTGGTTATTCATACTCTGTGTTCAGCTAACATGGATTTGCTATAAGAAGCATTCACAGATTTTGTGGAGAAACAGTCTTTTGTTGAAAAGCAAAAATAAGAAATTGCTCTCAGACAGAAACCTATGTCAGCATGTCTTGTTGAGCACTCTGAGAGCTGGCAGTAAGGAAAATACCACAGAGGTAGTTTCTGGAAAAATGAACCACTACTATTTGAGTAGCTGGAATATTGTTCTTACATTAAGAAAAAGAATGCAGTGTTCACAAGTAATGCAGTAATTTCGCATGAGTGTTTGACACTTACCTGTGTCAGTAGCTCATCTTTCTACATTATGATAAAATCAGTGCAGTGTTTTATACTTGTAGTTGTATTTAACAACTAAGAAATATGTGTATACATTTATATTTGACACTTCTAAAGTGGTAATTCTAAGCTTAGGGCAAAACTAACTTGTGTGTACATTCCTATACACTTGTGTGTATATCCTATGTTGACATCATTTTTCTCCTCTAAGGCAGTTTTTCTCACTTTTACTTTCCAACCAAGACTCTTAAGAATTTCCCTTTCTGATCATCTGTCCAGGATAATCTGTTTAGGATAGTAGAGCATTATATAGTAAATTTACTCAGCGTTAGGTTGATTTAAAAAATTAGTTTGCAAGATTATGTAATTCTAGACTTTTACTATAAGTGTCAGTTTAAGCCGCAGATAATTGCAAACTTATGGAAGATATGGCCATGGTAATTCTGTTCTGTTCATGATAGCAATTAGCTATTTAAGTTATGAACAGAAATATTCTGTTAAGAGTTGGGAAGCTGTCCTAATATAATAAGAGTTACAACCTTACTATATCCCCATTTCAAGTTCTCGATGCCACTATGATTGAAGAGGCCTCTTCAAATCTGCATGTTACTTTGGACTGCTTCCAGTTATTAAAAAATCAGCTTTGTCTGTTGTCAGCCCTACGGAGATCAGATGACTCATTTGCTTTTGATAAATATGAGCCACCACTTGAAATAAATAGTGGTAAAAATACCTTCCTTCTTCCATGAACTACATGGAGTCATTACAATTCTTCGTGTACTAACATTAATCATATATGTGTTCACTATTTTTGGCAAATAATGTAATTATTTTAAAACAATAAGCAGCTGCAAATCTAGATACGAGAACCATGTTTTAAGCAAAGAGTGCATCAAACCCAAATTGTTCCTAGCTTGATAGCTGTATATTACAATTACAATGTGTTTGTTCTCTGTTTATGCTCTTTCATGTCTTGTTAATAAGGTAAAGGTCATTATGTGGCTGAGAATGACTATTGTTATTATAATAACATAATAACTATGGATTACAGATGAACACGTCTCTTTATTAATTGTAGTTATGTTAAAAACAACATCAAAAGAGAAATAATAAACAATTTGCTGTGTAACTTTCAAATTTCCACTTAAGGCTAAGATATAATTGTGCATTGTGACATATATGTATCAGGAAGTATGATTCACGAATTTAGCAACTTTGTTACAGACTTAGAGCTTACTAATTCTCTTCTATGTTTAGATAGTAACAGTAAATGGTAGCCCTATAAAAGCCTTGCTAAATTGTGAATTTTCCATACAACATCAAGTCATTTCAGTTTTTCACAAAAGCTACTTAGAGTAATAATGACAATTATCATGCTTTTACAGTAGGTTATCTACAAGCTAGTCTACAAATAATTTAAATTTATTTAGTAGCCTGAAATGTATTGTTTATGGACCATTTTTCTTCCCTCATGAAGAGACATAATAAACATTTTAGAGCATGTTAGTGACATGTAAATGTCATGAAAGGTGACATTTAGAGTAAATAGTCTTTAAATGTAATTAAACATTATTTCTACTTTTTTCATATTTTATTTATCATCTTCCAGTACAAATTTAAAATGCTACAGCTAGGTTTATAAAATATAAGCTGCTTTCATATTTTTCCATGATGTTCTACAGAGGTTTTGGTCTGTTTAGTTGTTATTTGATAGCTTATGATCATTAATTACAACGACAAATATTGTTATAAATATGTCCTTAATGCAGTTAAGTAGTGACTCTATGACAAATGATTTTTTTGTTCTCACTTTCCACAGAGTTTAAAATTAAATTATGATTCGATTTTCAATTTTTGTACTTATTCTATCTGATTTTGAATCATGAAATCTTGGCAGTAATTCCAGTAGTATCTCCCATAAAGAGGTGGCCAAGAGAATTGCCATTTGGTAACATGCATTTTGTAGTTGAGTCTCCAAGGCATTTAGGTGAATAGAAATTAATAACCTTTCATATACAATCCAATAGCTGTTACTGGAGCATTTGGAGTGCCTTGTCTCAAGACACGAACGATCACTGAGGATGACAGTGGTGAAACGGCAAGCACAGTCTCCCTCAGGAGTTTCCAGTGAAGTTGAGGTCCTCAAAGCTCTGAAGTCTCTGTTTGAGCACCACAAGGCTCTGGATGAAAAGGTACAGTATGGAAAATATATGTATGTGAAATATACCCTCTGACTTACTTTACTGTGCCTTATGATGCTTATTGTGTATTTCCTTCTTTATATAAGTCTTTTCCTTAAAATATTTTTATGAATTCTAATAAGTCCTTGGGAATGTATGACCAATAATTGCAGTATTGGTCACTTTAGCTATCCTTTGTAGTCAGTAACACTGACTTTTCAAAACAAGCAAATCTTACCCTTATCAGAAAGATTTCCCCTGTTAGTGCTATATAAACATGGATGGAATTTATGTCTCTGGTATGTTTTTAGGTTATTGATGAGAAAATGTAGACTTCTCAAATTTTAAAAATACAAAGGGAGAGTGAAATAAGAGTAAAGATCTTTTTGACTACGGAAAAGGACTTCCTCCTAAAACATTTTACTGGGAAAATATTCTAAGTTTCAGATATATTTTTTTCACTGACTAAGCACAGCGTTTGCTGTAATATTAAAATAGTATAGTAGTAGATCCTTCATTGTCAGTGAATACACCATATTCATAGGGAAGATGGTCTGTACAGAAATGTCTCTTCAGTTAATCAGCCTTAAGCTTCTTAGTGCTTCAGGTCTCAAAGGCTCCTTACAGCCGCTAAGATGCTGATACCTTTCCTTGGTTTACTTCATGGAATGGAAAGATGTACAAATAATGTTCGAGCACTATGGAATATTGTGGTATATTAAACACACACATAAATGGGATAGTTTATAATACAGCACATGAAAAGACATTGTTAACATGGAACAGAAAATACAATCTTAGGTTAACTTCATATTTAAAGTAGATATTGAGCTTAAGAGTAGATTAGGAAGTTCTTTATATATAATACAGGAAGGACAAAAACTAGAAAAAAAAATATAATTTTATTTACAACATTCTATAGATTTCATTTCCTTCTAATACCTGTCTGAACATGCTTATTTTTCTGCAGCTTTTTTTCTATTCTGGTTTACACTTTTGATTCAACTTTTAAAACGTACATTTGTAAACAATGAACTTATGCAACTTCTCCAAACTCATTTTTAGTTGATTTGTTAAGACAAAATGTCCAACTGATCTTCACAGAGAAAAGCAACCACCAGGTTTTACTATTCTACATGATTTGAAAAACATTGGTTCTCTTAAGATAATTCATGTCAGAAAAGTATACCTATCTATTCTTTAATACAAAAACTACCAATTCATGTTGACATTATCACTATCTTTTTATTCATTAGCAGGTAGGTAAGAGAGCTTTTATTCACTATGTACAAAATTGATTCAATTTTTTCATGTGCAAGTGTTTTTAAAAGCTCTTTGTGGGCTGCAGATATGGAGAGAAAGGAGAAAGACTTTGACAGCAAGAAAAAATGTGGAAAGTGGTTGCTAAGAGACAGAGGAAGATGGGTGATATTTTGCACCAACAGCAGTGCTAACATGACACTGGCTATGTTAAATTTCAAGATAATAATAATAGGGCTGCACTTAAAAGCCAGAAGAATACCCAGTCATCTGAGCCCATGTTGGATATATCCAGTAACAAGGAGAGCAAACCTTTTCTACTGCATCTGTGGCTCCATAATGGGAATCATTTCTTTAAAAATGGATATTATACCATGGTTTGATAGATTAAATGACATCTGATTTTGTGAAGCCTTGTTTAGTAAAACTCCATCTAGTGCCCAAGAAAATAGGAGTACACTGAAGGACTATATGAAGTGTAGGTAGTACATTATTTTTGAAGTAATAAATACAATCGGAGTAAAATAATACTTGCTTCTATGAGCTACTTTTACTCACTGTCTTTAAATTCCAGAATGGAGAAAACAAATTGAATCATCAGAAAAAAAACAAGACAAATTTATCAGATAAAAATATTTTGCAGTTGTTACTGCTCATTTTTCACTAACAAGGCAGTGAGTTAGAACAACAGCTTTTCTTGTATTTGTTAGAAATTAAGATGATTTTGTTTGCTTTGTTTGCTTTAACATAAATTTGAAGAGGGAATCAAAGCAAAATTAATTGCAGTGTATTTTTATATGAATTTTAGAGAATTTGGCTTTTTTTAGATTCAAAGTTTTTTCAATATGAACTTATGAATTTCAGGGAAAAAATAATACAATTACTGAATGATAATAGTTAAAGTAATATTCAAAATATACGATTACCAAATGCATTAGTATGGTCTTTTGTAAGCTGTATGTTTTTCCTGGAATATGGATGAGAAAACCTGAAGTCTTTATTCAGCTTTTGTATTATTATGATTCTTCAAGTATATTTTGAAATCACTTAGGACAGAGAAAAAATAATTAATAAATAAAGTTACAATTTCTGGGCTGTAGAGTAGGTTTCTCCTTTAAATCATAACACTAATATAGCATTGTTTTCTCTTTTACACTGGTTTAATGAATACCTTCCCCCACTTTTAACAACTTCAACACCACTTCATGTGGTTGACCATGAAGAATTAGTTGCAACATTTCCTATTTCACCATGGCATATGTGAGTCCCAATTAGTTGTTCTCTGCTCAGATGAAAGAAAAAAGACTTCTGTGCCAAGGCAGAGTTGCTTTCAGTTCCTTTAGAAAATGTTATAGTTGGAGAATAAATAACGGCCATCAGACTGCAATTTTACTTAAATCATTATAAAAAAGTGCATTAACTGTGTAGCTGCAAAGCAGGAAAAGAAAGAGAGGGCAAGGCAAGGCAGGTCAAAGCTATTTCCAGCTTTGTCTTCGTTTCACACTGATATTGTTCTGTGTTTTAACTGACAAAAGGTCAAGAAAGAAAAAACATGGATTTATATGAACATAATAGCTTGATAATCAGAGTAATGAAATTAATAATTACCTATATTTTCTGAATTGTCATGTAAAAAAATGTCTCCTACACTGTCTTTGAAACAGCTGCCTATTATTTCCAAGGAGCATTGTTTTTCAAACTGTAAAATGTCTTTATAAAAGCCACTAGGCTTCAGTTCTACAGTGATACAGGTTAAGGATAATTTTTTTGTGATTCCAGCTCCCTTTGGAGCTCTCACCTCCTCAGTAAAATGGCCTAGTTGGTTTGCAAATTCTAAAACTCCTCTAAGCAAACACAAATGTTAAACATTTTAAAACATATTTTAAACACGTGCATTCTCATTTATAAAACACTTAGGTTTAAATACAACAAGATTTTAGGAAAATTTTGGAAAATATAAAATAAAAGGACAAACTCATTGCATGTAATTTCAGCTAGTAACAGTCACCATCTTGTGATATTTTCCTCCATCATCTTGTCCTTCAGTAATACTTACAGTCAAGAAGACTGAAGTGAGAAAGATGATTCTCATTTCTCTATTAAAAAAAATATTTTATGACAGCTTGCACTGTATAAAAGGTTGAAATAAGGCTTCTTGAGAGAGGACTATAATCCTTAGTTATCAGTGAAGTGCTAGAGAGAGACAAAAATTATGGTGGGAATTGAAGCAGGAATTTATATAGAAAGTGCATTTTACAGAGGAATCAGGAACCTCTGGGAAGGTTGAGAGCATATGAAGAGGAGAGAGATTGAGGAAGAGGAACCACAAAGATGATCAGAGGGCTGGAGCACCTTTCCCATGAGGATGGTCTGAAAGAGCTGGGCTTGTTCAGTGTGGGGAAGACTCCATCGCTGCAGTCTTTCAGTACATAAAGGGAGCCTAACAGCAGAGATGTGGACAGACTCTTTGGCAGGGAGTGTAGTGATAGGACAAGTAGTAATCGCTTCAAACTAGAAAAGGGTAGATTTATATTATATTATATATAGGGAAGAAATTCTTCACTATGAGAGTGGTGAAGCACTGGAACCCATTGCCCAGAGAAGATATGGATACTCCATCAGGATGGCACCTGATGGGTACCTTTGTGTACCTCTGTAAGTCATGATTTCTGTTCTCTTAAGACTTGCAACATTGTTTAGTGCATTGTAGAACAATAGTATTATAGCATTCCAATAACTTACGTGAATAATTTAAGCTGAAGTATGTAAAGAGGACCAAAATCCTCAGAAGTACTACTAGATCTGCATTGGTCATAAAGGCTAAGAAGTTTCTTCTTTTTAGTGTTCTTTTCCTGAACATGACTTTGGTTGCCATTCTTGAGACTTACAGACTCTTCTAGCAAAATCTGACTTCCACTGCGATTAGTAATAATAGAAAATAAAGTATAGTAGGAAAGGTAATAAGAGTTTTTAGACTAGGAGGTATCACAAGAAAAAATATGAAAGTTTTACTGAAACATTGCTTTATGGGTCTCCCATATTAGTCAAGGAGCTGAAAACAATTATACATACATGAAAACGTGCAACGTTTCATTGTACATGAAAGATTGATTTTTTTGTTTGTTTTGTTTTGCAGTGGAATCTGCTGATCTAGTAGAGTGCATTCACTTTCTCTTCAAACACTCCTTACATCCTTAAACATTCTTAGGTCATCAACTGGATCTAGGATAGTTTGGTGGGAATGGTGATAGAAATATCTGCTGAATTTAGGCCCATTTTACTGGGTTATTGTCAAGTAACTTAATGCGACGTGTGTATTGAAGTTGTGTGGACTAGCAGATGAGTTGCTATAGGATCCCTTGATGGTCAGAAGAGATAAAGTAACCAATACACAGCACTGAAGTTCAGTTTAGGTCAGATTTACCTTTTAATCATACTTGGAACCTTGTGCCTACACTGCTAGCTTAGGTTATCTATACTTACATGAGATAATGCTGAGCCAAGATGCACAAACAACAGAAAAAAAAAATGTTTTCAGAGGTGTTACATAGTTGTTGCTGCTGCTTTTCATCGTTTCATTTGTAAAAGATGCTTGTAAACAACATTTTATGCCTAATGTAATTTAAGAAAATTAGCACTTGCTTCGTTTTCTGTAGTATTATATGCAAACTGTAGAACAGCAGTATGGCAATTTAAAGTTTGAAACCCATTTTTGTGGGTTACATTTTCCTATGGTTAGGTTTAAACATTTACTGCAGAATATGTCTAATAAAAGGATGTAACACACCAATAGACTGGCAGGGCATACTGTAGTGCATATGAAGGATTATATAAATTTTAAAAACTGATAGAAGAAATGTTACAGCACATATTTTTGATTTTTCTTCCAGGTAAGGGAACGACTGAGGGTTTCTTTAGAAAGAGTCTCTGCACTGGAAGAAGAACTCGCTGCTGCTAATCAGGAGGTAATGTAAAACATTTTATCTCCTTCTGAGGTTCAATTTTGTTAATATTTTGTCCTGTGTGTTCCCTGTCACTTTTCTTAAAGCATTCCGAAAAAAGGATAAATTACATTCTAAGTAAGCTGATCAACAAGGCTGGTTTAAGGCACTGGCCAGATTGATTAATACAAGGTTTTTTTTCCTAATTTATTCAGTTGTGAGCAAACTAAAATTTAGGAGCTAGTTACAGTTTCCTAAAATTTTAATAGATATGAAAAAAAGGAGTTTATCTACTAACATGTCATAATATAAAAAATTTAATAACTTGAATCCCCATTTTACTATTAAATTAAGCAAAACATTTATAGATGCGTATTATATGTATGTTAAATTAAGGAGGAAAGTATATGGCTGATATCAAAATTTATGTTTGCCATCCCTTTTAATTGCAGTATATAATGGTGAACGGTGGAGCTGTATAACTTTTGTGAATTTAGACAATAAATTTTTCCCCTATAAGCTAGCTTGCAGACTGTTCTCATATTCTGATTTGTTTGAAAGTGTGAACACCACAAACTGACTGTATTATACGTGCAATGCATGCACAAACAGAACGGAATTTTGCACCCATGGAGATAATTCTGAAGCCTGAGTGTATAATGGATTCAGGTGGTCACATTGCCACCTCAATCACGTTCTGAATCTTCACCTGAGATGTGCTTCTCGTACTGTTTAATGTAAGTTAGACAAGCAATAGAAACAGATGAAAGCTACTTTGGTTTATGTCCATTTCCTGGTGTTTTTTTATTGAACTTTAAGACACAAACTAAAAACAACCACAGAAAAAGTTAAACTACAACCAAATACCTGTGGGAAAATGGAATGCCTATAATTCTGGACAATGTGTGAAACATAAACTACTGTAGTTGTTTATTGATAAACTACTGTAGTTGTTTACTGATAAACTACTGTAGTAGGTTTTTTTTGTTGTTTGTTTGTTTGTTTGTTTGTTTTTCTCATGACAAGCTAGAACAAGTAACTTTCTTGAAGTGACTTCTTAAAAAGGGTCTGCAGTGTATTAGTTCTTCCTTTTCATAAGCTATGAAGAAGATATTATAAATCCTCCCTTTTATTTGGGCAGACAAAGTATAGTTACTTTTTCTATAAAATACAATCCCTCTTTTACTGTTCCATTTCATGGAATAGTTGGGTTCAAATGATTTTGTTATGCTATATTGAGTGTAAGTAATCTGTTACTCGTACTAGCACTTATAAACAGAAAGCAGTCCTTTTGAACAGTGAAACTGAATGAGATGCATTCCATTACTCATATCGCTCTCATTCATGATCCAAGTTGACTGAGCATGGGACCAGGTCTTTAGAGCGTTGCCTTATTATCCAGAGATTGAAAGAAAATTATTTTAACTTGTATTGACAGTGTGGAGTAAAACCATACACCATTAAATTAGTTTGAAATAGGATTTTCATAGCCGTTCTTGCTCCTAATGCTTAGAAATGCTATGAATTTTTTGTCTCTAGATGATACTAAGAAATTTAGAAAGGTATTTAATTAGCAAAGCTTGACGTGACCATTAACAAAATCAGAATACTGGTATCCCAGTTTCCCGTGAGGGACTGTTCAAGCTTCAAACTGGAAATTCAGTTGAAAAATAATAAAAAAGAGATAGGTAGAAAGAAATAAGTGGATAATTTTCACACATATAATGTTCACACTATTAGCAATTTAAATGAGTCAAAATTAGTTAGACAATCACAATGTATGCACCTGTTCTTGTACTGCACTGCTCAGTGAATGCACAGGCAATACATGGCTTTAAAAATTTATCATACTATGCATGAAAATACATGAGTGAAGTTTCCAAGGAATTAAACTTATGCTTTTCACTAATTTCCATATTCCTGTTATTCAGTGTTTGCTTGCCCATGAGAATTTGTATTTACTTTTAATATCCGTTTTCTCATACTGGTCCTAAGAATGTACTACATATTCAGGACTGTATTTAAACACAAAATGACACCAGAACACAGTCCCCCGATTAAATGAGCATATGGTTAAGTATATAATTAGAATTCAGTGATTAAAAAAATGTAGAAATCTGCCTTCCTGTGAAGTTCCTATATTATGGTTGTTCTGACACAGCAACAGTGAGAAACAGCAGACATTCATGAGTTCTTGCACTGGAAATAAACTCATTTGAAAGGAGGAGGGGAGACTGTAGCTTCCTTCACTAGGTGTAAATAATCTCTCAGTTAACAGTTTTTTGTAGCATATTATGTGCATAACAGTGCAAAAACATCCAGAACACTGACAAAGCTGATTTCAGCTGTAGTTGCCAACACTGTCTCACATAGCACTTCTTATTTGTATGGGAATTGTAACACCCAGTGATTTTAAATTGCAGGGGCAGTTGAGATGGACAGCTCAAGACGCCAGTCTTGTGTATCTATCATGTGTAGCTAACATTTATGTGTATCACATCATGGTAACAGAGAAGGACCTTGACCTGCAGTTCCACTTACTGACTTATGACTTCAGTCATTGCTGTTGGCTGTTCTAGCTTTTAAAAAAAAAACAGCAAATGGTTCATTGTTGGTTTGATTCTGTGAAGGCAATAGTTTTTACTTAAAGAGAAAGAAAAGTTATTTAACTGTATATTTTATATTGCTGCAACTGATTTTTAACCTAGAAGGGTCTTTATAACAGCAGTCTGGAGAGTCTTCATGCAGACTGTGTATGATAACAGCCTATAGTAATTAAATAATACTTATAATATTTACTTTTTATCAGCAACTATCACATGATAAATCACTGAAAAACAGATTTACATGTGCTTACCCTTCAAATACTTTTGAAATGATGCAATACTTTATCTAGTCCCACAGAACCCATGATCTCTCCAAACAGTTGTAGCTGAATACTGTACAAGCTGCAGGAAGTACAGACCATGCCAAAGTCAATGGTGCAGTAATGTAATGTCTGTTCATGAAAAATATGAAGGTAGGTGCAATGTTTTTCAGTGAGCATATGAACATTGCAATTTCCAAGGTTCTATGAAACTCTCCTCTTTACACACTAATTTGAATTATTTAAAAGTCTTGAGCTGCCTTAGAATTTCCTCTGCTTCTACCAAATTTTACTCAACATTTTGTGCATGAATTTAACTCCTGGAGCTATCGGAGAGATTGCGGAAGATATGGCTCACAGTCATAGAACTACATGATTCTCTTATTTGTGCAGTAGAGTAGAAACCATATAAAAGAAACAGTTTGATGAGAAAAATTGCATTTGCACTTCTTGAATGTCTAATATACTCAAAATTTTATCAATTCAACATTCAGAAATTGATGGAATTTAAATCTATGTATCTATGTATTCAGTATGTTCAGTGACTTTTTTCTGAAAGACAAAAGCAAGGCCAGGCTAGATAGCTTGTACCTATTTCTGGTGACTTAAAGCATGTATTCCAGTGACAAATCTGAAATAGCCTTCACCTGTATTGTCACATTTTACCATATTTTCTCAGAGCAGTGTATGTTATTGCTACATAAAGTCTCACCTACATTCTAATGGTCATGATTTATTTATTTATTTATTCATTCATTCATTTATTTATTTATGAAATAACTTTATGCAGCTCTAACTTCGGTGAAGGTTTCACCACAGTTAAATTAATTTAACTTAAATTAACAGAATTTAATTAATTAACAGAAATTAAATTTCTAGGTGATTGTGCCAAATTATATTTTCTCTGCAAAGTTGCACATCATTAAATATCTTAGTTTGAAATGTAATCTTTATGTCCTATATGTAATTGCTTTTCTTTTTGCCTTTAACTATCTAGTTAAATGTTAACTCTGGAAAATGTTCCTGTGGCACTTGTTTTAAATGTGGTAATGAAGCAAAGCAACGTTGGCTTATTTTGTGACTCTTTCTTATACCCCATGCCCCACAGTGTTAATTTTGATCTCTGCACGTTTGAATTAGGATATGTGGCACAACAGCTGAAGAGACTGAAAAATACTTCACTGTCTTATTTTTTAGAAGATAAAAAATAAGCACAAGAAATAATCTGTAAAGTTACAATAGGTATTTCATTTTATGCTCTCAGCTAATTCTAATCTAAGGTCTTATAGGAAAAACAAAACCAAGCACCACAATTGTGGACGTGTAGGGCAGCAAGGCATTTCTGCCAGAAGCATTTCTCCCTAAAGTCTGAGCAGAATAGATCTAAAATACAATGCATTTTTCATATAGTGACTTGAGTAAAGTAATATCTATTGGCATCTTTGAAACAAAACATCAGTATTCCATTTGTGGTTTCTCAATATTACTTATATCAACAGTAAATTTTACCACACTGAATGCAAAATGAACTTGTTTTTTCTTTTCTACAGTGATAGCAGATAATGACTTTGTGTATTTTAGTATTGTGATTAAAAAATCTTGTTAAAAAATTGCCTCTAGGTTTAATCTCCCATTCATAACTTTCCTTAGTCACTTAGATTATTTATGCATAGGATACCGAGTACTGTTGGTAAGCCAGTAATGCACATTAAATAGGTTCAATAACTTGGGTCTTTTGCTGAAATATTTTTCGAGATCTGTGTTGTGTAGCTGCCCAAATATGGAGTGATTTTGATCCTTGAAGGATTGTGAAGTGCTGTGTTCTCTTGCCCTTTTGTTTAATATCTGGCCACCTGTAATAAATTCTGAAATACCAATGGTGTGTTCAAGTTATGCATGTATTTCAATTTATTCCTTAAAAGAAACCACTTTCTAGTAAAGACTGATTAGCAGAAAAGAGTATATGGTGTTTGTTTGCTGAGAGCTTCCTTAAGAAAAGCTTAGCTGAAGGGAAAAGCCTTCCATTCCTTCATGAATCTAGTGTACAAATTGTCTGTTTTCAACATATGTCATAAAGACAACTGTTACATTCTATATTTATTTTCCAAACTGTCAAAGATCCCTAATATGAATGGATTAAGCTGCTGCAAGGTTTTAC